TTTAAGGGGGAGAACTTGCACAATTGGTGGCTGACTAAATACTTTTTTGCCCCACTGTATGTGAAAAGCTGCTTCTGAAGGTGAGTGGGTAGCATTTTCAAACAGGCTACAGACACAGGAGTATGCACCCTACCATAGATGAATGAAAAGCACAAACATTTGTATCCGATGTCCATTGATGTTGATCTACCTTACAGGGTTAGATGAAAGCACTACAGACAGGCTACTATGAATATATGAATTGCTATGTTGAATGTTATTACAACACATAAGCTGATATCTTGACAGCTAGTCATTGAGTACTTGTTTCTCAAGAGGCGAAATATGATTACATTTTGAAATTAGATGCTTGCCCATTTGTCTATCTTATGAGTGGCCTCTTGACAACTGTATGGTTAAGCTGCTGCATACAAATATAACTAAGCTGACAAAAAAGTCAGATTTATTAACCAGACAGTTTGAAAGTTCAAAAACCCTGTGCCTAGGCAAAAGCTTTAACTGCCATTTGGGAGATCTATGTTTTATGTAAATCAACTATTCTATTAGCCACCACTGCTTTGACCAGTTTAGAACATAATAGTAACAACAATAACAATAATACTTTTTATTTATGTCTCACACATTGGCCAGCAAGATATACCTGTTTAATTTATGATAATTTGGACAAATCTGGCCAATATTGATAAAGAGGTATGATATTTCTGGTGAGCTACCCAAGAAGAATTTGCAAAGAGATTTTACAGAGGGAAAACAAAAATGCAATACAGAATCATTTAACTACAGCTCAAGGCAATGTCAATTCAGCCCTTGTATGGCATAAAACTCAATCATGTTTCTTATTTCATCACTATTAATAACTGCAATGTAGTATTTGATTTTCCTGGTCCTCCAGCTATAAAATCCCAACTTGATTCCTTCTCTTGCATCAAGTTAATTGCATCAAGACATTCTAAGATTCACATCTGGACTTCTTTTCAAGAAGCTCACCAACATTTCATTTTTTTTCTCCTTTTCTCAATGATTTCAATTCCTCTAATTCCCAAAATAAAAAAAGATGCTAGTCCAGCATGCCCTTACCTGAAAGCCATACAGGCAAATCACGCACTGCCCATGAGGGATGTTGTTGTCTGTGAGGATTTCTTTTCCCTTCTTGGTGAGAGAAAAAGCCAGTGTATAATTTCACATCCTAAAGCACAGACAATCCAAGCTAAAAGCATTCCTCATCACCACCCTATGTAACCTCCCAGGCCCCTTTCCTGTCCCCTTACCTCTATTAGTTCATATAGCACAGGTGTACCCAGTTGGGCCTCAGCAATACATTGCAGTGTCTGGGAAATTCTAGATAGGCAAGAAAGAAAAGGGGCATCAGGAGAAGGACCAGAAGAGGGCAACACTTAATGGAGTGGCTAAATTGATCAAACACAAGGACAAGCTGAACAATAATGCAAGCACAGGCTTATTCTGATAGACTATAATCTGCAGGCCTGCACAAAAAAATACTTCTGAATACTTTAAAAGGATTGGTACTCTGACAATAGGAAATAATTATACTCTCAATATGTTATGTCATACGGGTAGGCTACCACGACCGTGGAACAAGCACAGGAAAGGAACCCAAGCTGCCTTTGCCATGGGATGTTACTGCCATGGGATGAATGAATCTATGATAGTGGCTTAGTAATACAAGGCTCCCCTCAACTTACCCCATGGTGGGGGTGCATTTCCCTCCTCATTTGGCAAGCAGCAACAGCAGCTTGGGTTGCCCAGTCTTTCTGAGACCCCTCTGAGGAAAGGGAAAGAAAAGGGCAAGGCCTTACGGGTATTGGTAAGGCAGGTGTAAAGAGATGTGGAGCAGATAACTTTATCCATTTGTGCTTTAGTTGGCTGATCAAAAACACCTTCCATAAAGTTCTCCTTTAACCCCCACTTCCAACATAAATCCCATAATTAATCCACAAGTATATTTTATATAGAGAAACTATCTTCTCTTTTTTTCAATATCACAAAATATAATGTATATCAGTATCATTAATATTAGAGCAGAAACATTACCTTCCTCCTCTAAAGCACAGCTATGCATTAAGAAACAGAATCTGTATTTTATAGCAAACTACAGAAGTAAAAGTGGGTATCAGAAACCCACTTCCAAAGGAAGTGTGCAACTAATTGATAATTTTCTTATTCCATGTACTGAATGATAAGATCAAATTACTTACTTTTGGATCTGTTCATCTGATAGCCCTCGAGGATTCTGGATAGCAATCTTTGGTATTTCATTTGGATACTAAAAGGAAACCAAGCCAAGTGTAAATATATAGCACAGCCATGCTCCATGGTGAAATAACTAGAAAAAAACATTTAGGTGTTTACCTGCAGAGGCACAGACAATACAAGGGTGAAACAGACATACTGAGAATCCTGGTCCTCAGCAGTTGCTGGGTGTAGGGTGATGGAGATTTCCCAGGGGACAGATCTAGTTGGAGAGAGGCTCAAGCTAAAGTCAATTGTCAGAAAAGAGAACAATTTTTTTTTAAAAAGTAACACCTTCCACTGGAGCTCTCTCCTCCACTGGTGACTTTAACAGAAAGCCTTCTTCACAATGTTATACATGGAAGAAATGTGTATCTATATATCTCAGAGAGTGATGTAGGACTGATGTGTCAGTTTTACTTTTTTCTCCTGGCATACAAGCCAGAGAAGGTTATCCATAAGGAAATCTGGCCTCAGGTTTTATTTATTTGTGCTTATTTACACATAAATATTCTCCTTCTTATACTTTACATCTGTAAGTCAACAACACATCTGACAAAAAAGCAAATACCTGCTCTTTCCTTTAAGCACCTGAAGCTCATCCAAATAGATAGACTCTAAGACTTCTACTTCTGAAGGCAAAGCCCTGGAGAAAAAGAAATGATGTTACAAATATGCTTCATTTCCTCAGATTTCTTCTGCCTGCATAGTATGAGATACTATATTGCCTGCTGCAATATTGTTTTTACAGCAATATTGCAGCAGACAGGCTCTGCTCAATATCATAACACAAACTGTTCTTAAAGAAAACAGACAACATAAAATCACTTTGGAAACTAAAAGGTGGCATTTGTAGTAATCATATGAAATAATTTGGATTTACAAAATGCCCCTAAAAAGTAAAAGTAGAAAATCTTAGAAAAAGCAAGATTTCCAGCCTCAGAATTAGAATAGCACTGCTATTTTTACAATTGATAATGATCAATGTCATTATCACACTGCTCCCTATTTTCTAAGATAGATTTCCTTTATGAAACTCCCACATCATCTGTATTCAAAGACTCCAGTTTTGTAAACTTCTTTAATCTCATACAGCAATGGCCAGAAGCACAAGGGCAAGATAGATGAAGTGAGATTGTTGCATGCAGTAAGTTTACAGCTTCCATAAAGGGGGTGGGAGAGGGGGAAAAGTAATTTTGCCTTAGAGTAACTGCATTCCTGCACTCACATAGCCAATTAATATGATTGCAGTCAGACCATTCTGTGTAGGAATGAAAGGCACTTTTTTAATCTACAAAAAAAAAAAAAGGGAAGACTCAAGAGTTCTGTCTCAAAGCTACAGAACAAAGGAAAAGATGCACATCTGTAGTAGACTTGTTACTGAACAGAATTCAATTCCTGTTCCTTCAATCCCCGGGTCAGCCCTGTTATTTTTCTTGTCTGTACCCTGTTTCTGAAACAGCATTATATCTCTTCCTTTCTCCAGTTTGTCATGAAAGCAACATAAAAACAACACAGCACTTTATAAGTTACAAATATAAGGAAATATATCGTACTGAGATTAAATATTTGCACATAATAAGTTAGTAAAGAAAACAAAGAGAAGGCTAAACCTGTCATTTACTACAAGCCAGTTTTCCTCCCAGAACAAAACAACCTGGCAGGTACTAAAATAATGCTACCATATGTAGGCTGCAAAAATCCAGAATACTACTAGATGGCAGCAAGATGTATCTGACTCTTTGAAGCAGTGATGAGTTTTCAGGCTGAATGGCCAGGGTCTATTTTTTTGTTGCTGTTGTTCTGACGTTTCGCCATTCAGCCCGAAAGCCCATCACCGCTTCATTGATGTCAGCCATGAAAGCCTACGCCAGTATAGCTCACTTTTTGCTTCCATATAGTGGTAGTCCGAATGTTTGCAGCCCAGATCTGTGGCCCCAACAGAAATAGTTTTAGTATACCAAAGTCTTCAGAGATTAGATACTAATTAGAAGTTCTCAGTTAAAATCCCAGCTCCCCTGCGAACATTTTATTAGGGCTATCACATCTGGGCTGCAAAACTCGAGAGGGTCAGTAGAGGGCAGCAAGGAGGTACAAAACCCAGGTCTGGTAGTTCTGACAAAAGGACACCAACTACCCCCTTACCAATCCTCCACTCCCGTCTGATCTTCCCCACCTCCCGTCGCCATCTTGCCTGCGCAAAACCGGAAGGACGGCGAGCTCGCTACGATTACTTCCGACGCCAGGAGTTGCTAGGCGATAGTTGGCGACGCCGTCGTCTGACGCTTGGCCAGTAACGGGCGTCTTCAGCGTGCGGGATTCCCTCCTTCCCCCGCCCTTGGAGTGCCGGAGCTGGACTTCTGCTCCCTTCCTCGCGACAAGTCCCTTGGTAAGCGCGCGGGATAGACCGGTCGGTGTAGCGGGACACGGACCGAGGGAAGGGGAGGGAAAGGAAGGGAAGGGAAAGGCTTTGGGATAACAGCCCCAACCTTTTGCTGCGATTTGAAACACTAGCCGCGCACTCTGCGCAGGTACTTAGAAGTAAGCTCCCAGCAGTCGGTGAATGTTCTCTCGGTTAACTGAGTGTAGGATTGCAGCCTTTCCGTTTTAATGCATCTTTGCAAACATTTCGGAAATAAACAGCCCTAAGCATAATGGGGTAAAGCCAAAGGAACTCCTGGCAGCAGCTACAGTTGTCATCGCCTACCTCCTTACTGGAGAGTAAGCCCCTCGTCACTGTGCTGTGTCGGAGCAGCGTGTTAGAAAATAAAAATTAGGGGGAAGAGGTGCAGTTGGGGAGGACTATTTCATGTTGAAACTGTGCAGTAACTGAAATTCAATGAAGGGAGTACTGATTAAAAATGTGAACTATAAGGCAATGAAATTACAAAAAAATAAATCAGATAAAAACAAGACAAAGGTACCAGAATGTACAACTAAAATAAAATGCAATCAATAGATTCTCACAGCTTTCCCTGGGTCTTCTAAAAGCAGCTGCTAAGGGGCTGTCACAAGAGAGCCTCTCTCTTTCCAGTTTGAAGGATGAGCAAAGCCAGAAGAGTTTGATTTTGTTTGCTTATACTAATGTATTGTGCCCCAAAGAAATATGGTATGAAAATTCATCCCATCAAAGCTGTTTCAATGTTACTGGCCTCTTTAGTTTTCCAATCCTATGGGTTTTGTCTTGTATTTTAGAACTGTTAATGGGAGTGGATTTGAACCCTATGAAGTTTCCAGAAACTGGAAGATACACTGTCAAATCAAAAGGATCCCAGAACAAAGGTCAGGAAGAAAGATATAGTACATATAATAATGATCAGAATTTCAGTGAGAAAGAGGAGCCAAATGTAAGCCAGAGAAGGGATCTTGTCGTAGAATTTCATGCTGTTAATTGCAGTAGAGAGAGATTTTCTTGCAGAATCCAGTTAATGGAGAAACATGGTAATGCCACTGTTGCTCAGCAAAGATCTAATAAAGGATCAAGCTCTCTGTTACAGGAAGAATCTGAGGTGTGTGGAATATAGCATGATTTGGAATGGAGACAACTTTAGAAAGTTAGAGAAATCCAGAACAGAAAAGAAAAAATGTAAGATAATTATTAGAGAAAGAAAGAAAGAGGTCAATTCTAGAAGGTGGCAGAAGGAAGTACTGACAACCCAACTTGCAGGAGCTAAGATTCTGTTTCTACACTCAACAGGTTACACTGTCATCCCTTTCCATACGTTCCAATTATGGATGGGTATCATGTGTTGGAAATGATTGGAGAAGGCTCTTTTGGAAGGGTCTATAAAGGACGTCGCAAATATAGTGCACAGGTAAGAGCAAAAGAGAAAAGGGAGAATGGCCCTCAGCAATAGGCTGAACTTTCAGTGGGTTAGGGTTTTCACTCATTCTGATTAGCAATGTTTTGTTGACTAAGCCACAATTATCTGGGCTCCCATAACATGCAAAGCCAAAATCAAACAAATCACATTATGGGATACCATGCTATATTAATCCAGACATAATACTCCTGTGGCAGAAAAACTGGGAAAAAAGGCAAGTTGTGTTTTAGCATGTTTCCCCAGCTTTTTCTTTTTAAAAATTTTACAGGTCGTGGCCTTGAAGTTTATTCCTAAAGTGGGTCGGTCACAGAAAGAGCTGAAGAATTTGCAGCGAGAGATTGAGATCATGAGGGGACTTCATCACCCCAACATTATCCAGATGCTTGACAGTTTTGAAACTGATAAAGAGGTGAAAACATATTAGCAACACTACCTTAAATTTAAGTGTAGGAGAGATAGGAAAAAGTGTGTGTTGCTCACCATATGGAAGGCCCTTTCTGATGGATTATGTGCCATCAAATCAATGTCGATTCTTACCACTCACATAGGTAGACCTTCTCCAAGAATATGGAAGGCCCCTAGAGCATATGAATTTCTACTTCACTTTCCAATGAAGCCACTTCACTTTGCTCAACTAAGTCAAGGATGTATGGTTTATGCTCCCCTTGTAAGGATCTAGGAGGAATGGCTACCAGTAGGTTTCTCAGTAGGTTTCTCAGGATTAGTTTTAAACTAGGAAGGATCTGTGACTTGGCATCTAGATACTTATAGGACCCCTCTCTCCATCTAGAAACAGCTGCCCAACCTGCCCAGGGTACACATGCTGTCAATATGTTTTAATGTTCCCCTATCCCACAAGTTGTTTTTCATTGGTGGCCGCATATTGTGGAAGAGACTTCCCCTGGAAATTAGGCTAGCGCTCTCACTGTTGGCCTTTTGGAAGCTATTAAAGACTAAACTGCTCCAGAGGTCATTTGTGTTTTGTGTATTGTTCTTTGTTTTTAAATGTTTTAATAGTTGTAAACTGCTCAGTCACTGGGAGTCAGGCAGCATATAAATTTAATTTATTATTATGGTTGGTCACACAGTCAGCCAGATGTTTAGACTGTATTTGGCATTTTTATCCGCCTATCAAGTCCTTCCCAAGGACCTGGGATAGGCAGATGTTGTTGTTTGATGGTGTTAAAGGTACCATCGCAGGATATAGGCTGTTCTAAGTAAAGCTGCCTTTTGCAATTGACTGATGGTGATTTTGTCAGTGCCAATGGTGCTCAAG